CTGAAGTAAGGCTGAATAGATGATGAATTTTGAGATGATTGATCCATCAGTATATTCATATCATTGTCATCTTCCATTCCTTTACTATTGCAATAAACATTTGCTCCATAGGCTTCTAAGGAAGAAACACTTTTTCCCAACTTTCATAAGGCACTTGCGATTGACTACACAGTAGGAAAATAGTAGATGGATGTTCCAGTCAAGTAGTAGATCCATTGATGATCAAATCCAAAACTGATTTCATAATTATTGCACCCACATCAATAGGTTTTCCAGTTTGAATACAATAATTCAAAATAACACTCTCCTTCGTCACCTTACTGATTTTCATAGCAGGAAGTAGGTTTGATGAAATAAAAAAATGCCATGCTTTAAATGTAGGATTCAATAATGATGAAGAAAAACTTACGTTTCCATCATCTCGGATCTCCCAATTTGCATCTTCATCAGTAAGAAATTGATAGAGTTTATTCATATTCTCTCTTGTAGGGGTAAACATTACGTAGTGGTAAATAAATACACTTTCAATCATAAACATATCATTTATTCTTAAAGGAGTGAATTGTACAAACCTGCCTCAAACATAAACAATTCCTTAGTTGATTCCATGAAGATTTACATAAAACTCTTTCACCACAGGGACAACTACGACGATAGTAGTATAACAAAGCAGTTCTCAGCGTCTCTGTGCAACAATCTCCTCCACTCGAGTATTCAGTGTGTTGAATCCTTGATTCATAAATCCCCTTTCCTTTATTAGCCTCTTTTTCACAAGAACTCGATCGTATAATTTCTGCGCATCGAAATTGATGAACTTCCTTCGGTTGAAAATTCTATATCTCGTGGTATCTTCAGTGTGGGAAGCCATTGAATTTGCAGAATGTTCACTCTTCCCTCGTTTTCCCCTCTAAAATAGGTTTAGAAATCATTTTTTGGGAATTATTAGGAAAAGAACCCACCAAAAATAGCCAAAAATCACCTTTTAACATGTTTTAAGTCATTTTTGTCACCGTGACGCCTCAGGCCCTAATTCAGGTGCTTCAGGCGCCAGCTCTCTGGAAAGAGGCGCCTCAGGTGCCAGTTCCAAAATTTGCACAGTTTCATTTTAAATCCAATTAATTCTAAAATTTTTCATAAAATTGGGTAAATAAAGATGTTTTTAAATATTTTCTCTATTTTAATTTTTTCAAATACACAAAATCAATAAAACTACAAATTTATATTCAATACTCCAAACTAAATAGATAAGCAAAATAAACAATGATAAATATGGGTTGCCTCGCACAAATTGCTTGGTTTAATGGCATCAGTCCGGCATTCTCAGTCTGACCCAACATTAAAATCTCTTTAAAAACTGGTATTTGACCATTAAAATATGGTTTCAGTCTATGTCCGTTCACTTTAAATATCTTTCTAGTCTTGGGATCTTTAATATTAATAACTCCATAGGGATAGACTTTTATAAATGTGAATGACCATATACACCTAGACTTCAGTTTTTCAAAAAATAACCTCAATCTTATATTATATAATAAAACTTGTCAACTCAAAATTTAATCACAAACAAAACAAAAATTAAAACTAAATTAAAACGTCTCTATCGGATGATCGGGAATCCCGTGGTGGAGGTAACTTATGGTTGCTAACGAGATTTCCTTTGGTCTAAATGAAAGTATGGAACTCAATGAGTTGAGTTTAGTAAATTCATTTGGACTAAGTGAAATGTTCTATGCTCAAATTCTACCGGTAAGTAGCATATTTTTCCAAAAATAAGTCTATATGAAGACATTCCTATAAGAGCCTTATAAGCAATTATGTATGACGATAATGTAGTATCTTATCTAGTAGACCAAGCCAATTTATAGGGATTTATAGCTTTTTCAAAAATTTGTTTTATTTCACGATTTGATATTTCTGCTAGACCACTAGTCTGAGAATGATAAATAGTAGAGAATCTATGCATAATATCATATTTTTTATCAACTTCTCAATTCTCTTATTTATAAAATGAGTTCCTCCATCTATAATAATTACTATCAGCATTCCATATATTGTCAAAATATTTTTATTTAAGAATTTAGAAACACTCCAAACATCACATTTAGGTGCAGCAACAGCTTTAATCCATTTGGACATATAATCAACAACAAGTAATATATATAAGTTTCCAAATGAAGGCATAAATAGTCCCATAAAATCTAATCCCCACACAACAAAAATTTCTACTTCCAATGTGTAATTTAGAGACATTTCATTTCTTTTAGAAATATTTTCTACTTGCTGACATCTATTGCATGTTTTAATATATTCATTAACATCTCTAAAAAGAGTAGACCAATGAAATCCAGCTTGCAAAATTTTATAAGCAGTTATATTTGTTCCAAAATATCCTCCAAATTCAGAATCATGATATCTTTCAATTATTTGTTAAGTTTCTTCATAATGCACACACCTTCTAATAATTAGATCTTTACATTGTTTATATAAATATAGATCATCCCAAAAATAGAATTTTGAATCATATATAAATTTCTTTAATTGTTGATTCTTAATATCTAGTGATAGAATATCACTTACAATGCAATTTACTATATCGGCATACCATGGTGTATTTATTTCATCAATACTATATAATTGTTCATCAGGGAAATTTTTTAAAATTTCATTTGCAAAATTAATTAATATTTCTTTTTATAGTCTAGACAAATGATTAGCTATTTGATTATCATTTTCTTTTTAATCAACTACAGTAAAGTCGAACTCTTGCAATAAAAGTATCCATCTAATTAATCCTGATTTAGCGTCATTCTTTTGCATCAAATATTTGATAGCAAAATGATTTGTATGCACTTTACATTTAGTTCCAATCAAGTAAGGTCCAAGTAAGGTCTAAATTTAAAATTTATCAAAGGCATAGACAATATCTAATAACTCTCTTTCAGTAGAATGTAGTTAATTTGAGCAGCATTCAGAGTTTTACTTGCATAATATATTACTTTAAAAACTGTTGCATCTTTGTCCCAAAACAACTCCAACAGCTTAATCACTAGCATCGCACATTATTTCAAATGGTTTCTCCCAAGCAAGTGGGACTATTATAGGTACAGTAATTAATTTTTTTTTCAATAGTTCAAAGGCTTTTATGCATTCCTCTTTAAAATCAAATTTCATGTCTTTTTAATGTTGTTAAATCGACGGTAAGAATGACGGTTCTCTCAATAGATGCATTGAATGTGGACGATTTTTGAAGGGATGCTTAGGCAACTCTTGAAAACTCTTGTACAACTTTAAGAGAAACATTTTGTAGGCCGAAAAAGGGAATCTGGAGAGTCCAGAGTGCCCATAGAGTGTCGAGAGGTCTACGGGTGTCCAGGAGAGTGTAATTTAGGGTTAGGTATTGTGAGAAATTCTTCGAGAGATTGTAAGAGTGGAAGGAAAGTGAGAGATTTCTTCCTCCTTGCTGCTTTGAAAGAGAATTCTGTGTGCTGTAAAGAAAGGAAGAGATTCATAGGAACTTTGAGGATTTATTTGGGGAAGAATTTGAGATAAGTTATATTTACTTATTATAGTTTGTATGACTTTGCTTTTATATATGAAATCCAAGTTTTGTCGTATCTTCTCCATGAGTTCTGAGTAGTTTTTTCTGTCTTTCTCCTTGTCTTGAGATTTTGAGAAATGGTGATTTGAATTGGTTGTGCCATGAGAATGTTAAAGAAGTTGTGATGATATTTTCACTTTAATCTAAATTTACATTCAATCTGGTCAATTAATTCGTTAAAATATATTGAGTTTTACAACTAACGTGAGAATTACATTCAAGATTTAGGGAGTTCAAAGTCCTTGGAAGTTGGGTGCAAATAAATGGGGAAATAAAAATTATCAGGTGCAGAATTGGATATTTTAGAGTGGCAGACTAAAATCCTCAATTTGATTCTATCATTTGGGTGCTGAAGTGTAGATGTTAGCCCTCAGGCGAGGGAAACGTGGCAGCTCCAAAGTAAGAGTCGGTATCCTCCCAGCCTAGCCGAAGATTCAGTAACCAAGTATAATATTAGTCAATGTTCTTTATGCCTGGTCCAAAGGGTAAAGAATATGCATGCTCCTATTTGGCACAATACAATTTGAACCGATTC